TGTCTCAAATGAGTAGTCCCAGAACTCATTATTGATTTTTGTAACAATAAAGCGGTTTGTAGGGTGACAAATGGCTAAGTTGAATACCTCCTTTCCATAGTCTTGGTATTCTCTGAATAATCTGCAGACATTTCTGATCTGTCTCTGATCATGTTCTCAGTTTCTTCCTTCAAGGATCTTCTGTCCAATTATAAACACAAGTTTGCAGAACTGCAAAATGCAAGCAACTATCCTGTGTATCTTGTTGCGGCAATAAAGGGTGACAACCAATATGTGGACTCCTGTTTTGAGATAATCTCGGGGGTTCAAGGTGTTGTTCTGCTCAGGTGTAAGAAAAAGAGTCTTTTGAGAGGGACAGGATCAAAGGATGCTGTGATGTATACATTAATTTTTGACGGTGCAAGGAAAGCTTCAAGGATTTCTAGGTAGGGTGTGGAGTAAGGTCTTCAATGGATGATAATTCCATAGTGGAGTAGAAAGTGGATCTCTCTTCTGTTGTTGATGATGAGAACTGTGGTTAGAAAACCACACACAAAAACAAACTAACACACAATCCTCCCAGATTCCATGGAACTTGTTTATAGGCTTTGCCTCCTAGAACAGTGGGTGCTCTGGTTGTTTGTGGGGTGGTATGTATAACAATCCTTCAAAGTCAAACCCAGAGATTTATGGGTGTGGGTTTTGAGGAGGAGGGATAGTTGGAAGATAAAAGATAGGGGCTTTGTGGCGAGTATAGACGAGCACTATCTTGCTAATTGTAGCACAAGGTAGGTTTGAGAATAACAAGATAATGAGGTTCCCAGTGATAGCAGGCTCCTGACGCACAAACTGTAGTGCTCAAAAGGACTCTAATTGAAAGGGATGACAATGACATTCAAAAGTGACGAGTGACAATGACAGCAATTAACAGTGGTAGCAGTGGGAAGTGTTGTGATCACACTGGATCACAAGTAGCAGTAAGAAGTGGACTTGGGAGAAGTTTGGATTGGATTTCTTGTTGTTATTTTACAAGGTAAAATACAGGGGTTTATATAGTGAAAAAAAAGTAGGCTATGCACAGTATAGCTGTGCAAAACGGATGTGAAAGAATGTGAAGGAAGGAATGTATGCTGACAAATCCTGCGTAGGTAGTACAGGATAAGATTGTCAAAAAAAGGAAAAGAAAGGGATAGCACAATGAATGCTGTGAGTAATGTCACAGGTTTGTATAGCCATAAAATAAAGTCCAATAGCAGAAAGAGAGTAAGTACCAACCAACTTTGGTGTATGATAGTGTCTTGTCCTGGTGTAAATGCAAGCTGTGGGGTTTCAATATAGTTCTGTAAATGATAAAGGTGTTACAATAACACAATTTTTGGACCTCTCCTTTATTTTCATTCTCCGCTTTAACCTTGTACTTTAGCTTTCACACATGGTGCCACGCGGCACTTCCCCTTTTTTCCAAACTTCTCACGCCGTGTTGCCTTTCTTCTTATTTTAGATACAACTCTCTCACACGGTGGAGCTGGCCATACGGGCTAGGCCCCATGACATCATCAGCCACTATCTCTATCAACTGTATAGTATACATGTACAAACAACCCTGTAGTAGTATATATACCCCAATAGATCCAGGAGACTCCTCAGCAAGTCCTCCTGTTGTATACCAACAAACTCACTGCAGCTCAAGGGGTAACCACTCCCTTATCATCTTCCTTATAGCGTGTTCTGTGTGCACCAGAGTAACTAACTCTTGGTTGTTACAAAAGGTGTGGGGAGATTCCATCTGCTAACACTAGGAGAGCAGTTTTGTAGTTTGCTACTTGTTGTCTGAGTTCACGTCTCCATGAGCTGTTGTTCCAACAAGGGGTTTCTAGAATTCTCTGTTTGTAGATCTTGATTGGGCAGTGCTTCAGGTGAATCAAATTAAATCTGAATAATTCTTTGGACACTTGATCTGATTCCCACAAGAATCCTTGAGCAGCTGTGAATGTGTCCTTTAATAAGTGCAATGTATTGGCAAAGTTGGGAGATTTCAAAGGCTACATTGTCAACTGCTAAAACTAACTCTTCTAATTCACTGATTGGAGAGGATGAAGCTGATGAGTCTTCATAGTATTCTGTTTCAGGATCACTGTGGGCAGGTAGGGGATTTGTAACAACCAAGAGTAACTTACTCTGGCGCACACAAAAACACACTATAAAGAAGATGATGGGAGTGGTTACCCCTTAGGCTGCAGTGAGTTTGTTGGTATACAATAGGAGGACTCGCTGAGGAGTCTCCTGGATTTATTGGGGTATATATACTACTACAGAGTTGTTTGTACTTATGTACTATACAGTTGATAAAGATAGTGGCTAATGATGTCATGGGGCCTAGCCTGCATGACCAGCTCCACTGTGTGAGAGAGTTGTATCTAAAAATAAGAAGAAGGCAATATCTAAGTAGTGCCGCCAGTGCTCTAGAGCTCTAATGATGGCCAGCATCTCTTTGTCGTATATTTAATAGTTGCGCTCTGTAGGCAACAAACTATGCGATAAATAGGCACAAGGCCTCCAAAGATTGTCAGGGCATTTAATGGACAAAACAGCCCCAGTAGCAAAATTACAAGAGCCGGTTTCTAGCCGGAACTCTTTGTCTAATTCTGGAAATGCTAATATGGGTGTTGTTGTAAATGCCTGTTTAAGCTTATCAAAAGCTTCTTGTTCTTTGGCGCCCCAGTGCCAAACAATGTCCTTTTTTGTGAGATCGTTCAACGGTCTCGTGATTTTTGCGAAGTTTTTGATAAACCTTTGGTAGAAATTGCCTAAGCCAAGGAAGGCCCTAACTCCTTTGACGCGAGTAGGTTCTGGCCAATCCAAGGTAGCTTGAACTTTTTCAGGATCCATCCTAATTCCATTCTGGCCTATGATCATACCAAGGAAGTCTACTTCCTTCACTTTAAAATTACATTTTTTGGGTTTGACGAATAGGTCCCATTCCTGTAAGCATTGAAGGACTTCTTGGACAATCCTGTTGTGCTCAGCCTCATTGTCCAACTTTGTAAATATTAATAAATTGTAAATTTAAATGACTACACAGTTTTCCATATCCGCAAAGATCTCGTTCATCATGCTCTGGAAGGTTGCCGGTGAATTAGTCAACCCAAAGAACATAACGAGGGGTTCAAAGGATCCTCAGTGGCACGTGAACGCGGCCTTCCAAGCATCTGTTTCTTTGATTCGTACATTATTGTACCCCCATCTGAGACCCATCTTTGTTAAGACTTTGGCACCACCAATTTGTCTACTAGCTGACTGATCAAAGGCAGCAGATACGCATTTTTAACCGTGTGCTCATTCACGTAACAATAGTCCATAATCATATGCTTCTTACCATCCTTTTTAGGAATGAAGAACACCAGGGACGTCATGGGGCTTTTGGAAGGTCTGATGTAACCCTTCCTAAGCTGTTTGTCTATGAAACAAACTTGATACCTCATCTCTTTCTGGAGCAGAGAGTGGTATCATGTGTCCTTTTCTCGGTTTGAAGGTGTCTTTCAAATCTATAGCATGGTCTCAAGGCCTAGTATTTGAAAAGTATATAAAAGTTATAGTATTAAACCCTGGTCCAAACGGTTGTCAGGGGGTGGTCCGCTTGTTAAGCTGTCAACCCTTCTCCAGACTGGCAGAGGCAAGTGCCCGGCCTGGTCAGAGGAAAGAGAAAGTGAAGTTTTTGTATGTGAATTCTAATCAACAGTGGTTCCGCACCGACTGCTGAGCTAAGTACTCCCCTTAACGCTGGGGGCCGCGTATCAAAGGTATTGTTTCTTCTCCCAAGCACTACAAGGTCGTTGCAAAGAGCGCACTTATCTGCTATATGGGATATTCCCAAACAATAGCCAAATCTCCTTCACCCTGGAGTCCGGGTGCCCAATGGGACTTTTTTGCACAAACGTGCAAGAGAGTAGAGAAAGCAAGTCCTAATGTAACAACTAAGAGTGACTTACTCTGGCGCACACAGAAACACACTATAAAGAAAATGATGGGAGTGGTTACCCCTTAGGCTGCAGTGAGTTTGTTGGTTAACAACAGGAGGACTCGCTGAGGAGTCTCCTGGATTCATTGGGGTATATATACTAATACAGAGTTGTTTGTACTTATGTACTATACAGTTGGTAAATATAGTGGCTGATGATGTCATGGGGCCTAGCCCGCATGACCAGCTCCACTGTGTGAGAGAGTTGTATCTAAAAATAAGAAGAAAGCAATGCGGTGCGAGAAAGGAGAATTTGAACAAAAAGGGGAAGTGCCGCATGGCACCATGTGTGAAAGCTAAAGTACAAGGTTAAAGCGGAGAATGAAAATAAAGGAAAGGTCCGAAAATTGTGTTATCGTGACACACGCTTGACGGTGTTTTTGGTGAGTGGCAGCGGGAGTGAAGGACTGAAGACTTTGCACTTGCCATTTGCTCGAGTGGATTCTGGGAGCTGCAGTGAAGCTGGTTGGGGCAGTTTGAGTTCAGTGGGCAGTACGGTTCACACGGGCTACACAGAGATAAACGCCTCACAGTGAGGCCAATCAGTGAGTGATTGATTGCCTGGATTCTGGTAAATGTTGTTGATAGCAATCTGCAGGCAGCTGCCATTTACATGATTGCTGAAAAAGCGCACCAAGTTGGGTTTCATTTCTGGCTCACTTGCTGGTGTTGTTTGGACTGTCTGTTTACATTGGACTCATTGTGGCTTCAACATTTTTCCTTGTAGGTGTACAGTGATGTTGCTGATAACTGACACTTCTACATAGGTTATGCAGACAGCATCATCATCTGGTCTCGCCCTGCCCTTCTTTTTTGCTGCACCAAGCTGCTCAACAAAGAAGGTAAACCATAAATTACTACCTTTTGGATATTCCTCCTATTAATTCCCATCCCAAAGGCTACCGTCACAATAATGACTTGAGTACCAGGGTTGCCTTCAAATAATTGTAGGGTCTTGTGGTTGTAGGCTGTGGAAGTCACTGAGTACCAAAGTCGGATGGCCATGGATCGTTCAGCCTCTGGTAAGTGCCCAGATAAAAATTGTGACACAATATGTTAACTCAATTGTATTGCAGTATACCACCACCTTTTTGCCTGGGTTCAGAACCAATGGGATTTCAGGGAAGTCTCGGCTGCCAGTGCTATGGGTGAGTGACTCAACAACCACTTGAATATTCACGTGCTCACAAAACTATTGTAGGTGGTAGTACTGACCCTCAGCCAGACCAAGAGCACTGCACACAGCTATGGTTTCTTGACCAGGTATTAGTGTGGCTGTTACAGCTATGAGAGGTATATTTTCTGGTAGCCTTTGTTGTAATCATCCCATCTGATTGTACGCCTTGTGGAAATCAGGGCCCCATGAAGACACAACATGTGCTTCAATTTTTCTGGACTCCATATAGATATTGACCATTGGCATTATTGGATCTTGTCCACCAGGTTTTTTTCTTTGAGTTTTGCTGCCTGGATGCTACTGGAATGAACCAAAACGGCTTTGATGCCAGGGTTGTTCATCTCTGCAGCCTACTCTTACAGTAAGTTTTTGTTTCTTGTTCTCTTTTGTCTTGCAACTAACCTGTGTATCTCCCAGTGTATTTAACACTGTCACTATCAAAATGACTGGTTTATCCAGTAAGGGGCCCACTCCAATAGGTTTGCATGCTAATTCTTGCATGGTGAAGAGCAATCCATAAAAAACTGCCATTTTTCCACCTCCTGTTATGAACTATGTCTCTTAAGGACTTTATTTTCTTCTCTGAGTAGCTATGCACTGCTACTCATTCTTATTCCCACACTAGTTACCTGTTACGGTTTCTCACCGGTCATTGTTTGTTCAACACAAACACCTACCCTAAAGTATGACAGTATATATAGATGCTTGTATTGTAGTAAACATCTCCAATATGATTGTACGCTTCAACAGTGCAACTTGGTATTCATCAGTAAAGCCCTGTTCATCAGAGTACGTCTCAAACCCGTTACCTACGGGCTTATCGGAAACCGCTTCATTGCCGGAAATCCCTCTTGTTACCGGGCTTGTACATTCTGGGCGTAACAAAACAATTGTATTCCACATCATCCTACGCTTATTAGCGAAGGGATGAAAAAGACGACAAAATGTCACAAGGAAGAAACCCACCACCAGGGCGCAGACTAGAGCAGAGCCTACCCAAGCCGCAAAACCCCCAGTGTTATCTAGACAAGAAAGAACAGCAGCACCACCCCCCTTTCCCCAACCCAACGTCACCAGACTCCACAACAGGGAACAAGCAGACACATTCTACAAAGCCAGAACATGTTGGCTACAGTATTACGCAAGAAGTCACCCACAGCTAATACCCAGAACCCAGCACAATCCCCCAGTAACTGAAGCAGACGTCTACAACAAAAATGATTTTGAAGAATTTGCCGCAGAAGGCCAATCAATACCACCACCCACACCACAGATACTTCCCACAGCACCTAATCCATCTCCTATCCCACCAACAAGCACCATGTCCAACACTGCTACACCCAAACCTACCAAATTTAGACAAATAGATGATTTTAATGGATTGCCTGACCGGGCCAACAGATGGATGTTGTCAGCCAAGGCATACTTTTACGTAAATGACGACATCTATGACTCAGACAAGAAGAAGGTCTTCACAGCACTCTCCCGCGCAAGACTTACAGTTTTTTTTGGGAGAGTCTACTTTAACTGTAGTAATCTCATCAGACATTTCAAAGAAAAGAAGGGACGAAAGAACATACCTTCATTTAACAAGCTATTGGACGCTGCAGGCATTTGTGGCTGGCGCTACACTTTCACCCAGGCATATAGAAGGCACAAGACCCAGAAGCTATGGGTTCAGACAATGTCAGAGCAGGCAAAGACAGTCTGTCAAAGAAATTATGCATACCTGTTGAATGTTTGTGGTCTGAACACAATAGAGCCAACAACTGGATGGTAGCAGGACAAATGAGAGAGGGAGAACAAGATAGGGGAGGTAAAGAGGATGAGGGAGCTGGTGATGAAGCTAGCTTTCTATTAGGCTTGATGACAGTTAGTGAGATGGGAAAAGCCGGCTCACAGAGAGATGTATTATCGCTGTTGATGATGAGAACTGTAGTTAGAAAAACCACACAAAAACAAACTAACACACAATCCTCCCAGATTCCACGGAACTTGTTTATGGGCTTTGCCTCCTAGAACAGTGGGTGCTCTGGTTGTTTGTGGGGTGGTAGGTATAACAATCCTTCAAAGTCAAACCCAGAGATTTATGGGTGTGGGTTTTGAGGAGGAGGGATAGTTGGAATAAAGAAGATAGGGGCTTTGTAGCGAGTTTGGACAAGCACTACCTTGCTAATTGTAACACAAGGTAGGTTTGAGAATGACAAGATAATGAGGTTCCCAGTGGTAGCAGGCTGCTGATGCACAGACTGTAGTGCTCAGAAGGACTTTAATTGAAAGGGATGACAATGACTTTCAAAAGTAACGAGTGACAATGACAGCAGTTAACAGTAGTAGCAGTGGGAAGTGTTGTGACCACACTGGATCACAAGTAGCAGATTAGTGAACTTGAGAGTTAGAGAAGAAGTCTGGATTTGAGTTCTTGTTGTTTTTTTACAAGGTAAAATACAGGGGTTTATATAGTAAAAGAAAGGTAGGCTATGCACAGTATAGCTGTGTAAAAAGAATGAGAAAGAACATGAAGGAAGGAATGTACGCTCACAAATCCTACATAGGTAGTACAGGATAAGATTGTCAAAATAAGAAAAAGAAAGGGATAGAACAATGAATGCTATGTAAGTAATGTCACAGGTTTGTACAGCCATAAAATAAAGTCCAATAGCAGAAAGAGGGCACTGCATTGTTGTTGCAATAAGCAGTGGGTTATCCATTATAAATGTCAAAAACAATATATTGGGTTTTGATGGCCATTAGGTCCTCTTGGTATTCCTCCGACACGGGCCAAGTTTCCATTTCACTCTCGTAATTCACTCTTTCTGAATCATAATAGTTAGTGACGAATGCATAGGGCAAACATTGTGAGTGGAAAACAACTAACCAGAAACATCAGAATCCTCTGATTGAGATAACAGCTGCTGTAGAAGTTCATTGAGATAGGATACATGATAAATGAGTAGGAAAAGCATCACAATTTTGTCAAAAATAGGGGTAATAAATCTGACTGTTTTAATACGCCTTTGTTCCTCTAAGAAGTAACAACGGTCCGTAGTGGCAGCTGTAGATGACTGTACTTTGAGTAAATTGTCAAAACCCTTGTTAAAATCATCGACTAAGGCTGGTTGCTCCGGTACACCCAAGGTGAATTGGAATTTTGCACCTGCTAGAGTTCCATATGACCGATTGATAAAGTTACCATTGGGACCACAGAATAACTTGAAATCCTTGACTTTCCCAACAATAATCATGGCAGACTCATTGCCTGTTTGCTTGGTGATAACCCATGACCGTTGCCTAATTGTTTCCAGCCCATGCAGGACAAGAATACTGCAGATGCAACATAAGTGGAGAGGCTGCGGATGTTGTTACGATAAGAGATAGCATCAAATATGATGACAAGGGTAAGAAGGAAGAGCTGAAAAAAATCTGTGTTGAAGTATTCATTTAAATAATATAAATTAGGAGGCACTTTACCTCTTTAGTGTGGATGATGTTGTAATTGTAGAACCAGCGGTTGCCATCATCATCAGTTGAAATGATGACTTGGTCTGGACTCAAACTCCACATGATCCACATAAGAGAACTGGTCTAGACTATAATGTAGACATCACGTTCTACAGGTCATCAGTTTTGAACAATTTGGAAAAGATGACGGGCTGACTGCAACGAAACTCTTTACAACAACAAAACATCATGTCTATGTTCTCAGTTCTGACAATAGAGCATATATTGCGCATATCAAACTTTGTTACATTCACTAGGGAGCAAAAAAGGTCAAAACAATTACTAGTTGAGGTCATTGAGAAATTACCTGAAGAATGGTGTGCATTATATGTTACTGCTGTAGAAGAAAAAAGGGGTTCACATAGTATGAATCGAAAAAGAAGTAGGAGTGTAATGGGAGAAGACAAAGAACCTCCCCATCAAATGGACCATCACGGGCTTACAAAAAATTTCTGGATGTTGGGGATACAGAAAAAAGCAAGGGACATATCCGCCAATTTATACAACAGACGAATAACGCTGCACTTAAACAAGATATATGTGCTGTATGCGGAAGATTGATGTTTGCTTATGGCTTAACAAAGATCCTAGTCTCGTCAATACCTCACAAAAGCTGCCTGTTTCCCTATTCACCACATTGTAAACAACACCGAGACTTTCACTAGCAAATGGTTTATGGATGGGTGAAGTACCTGTTGAGCTGAGCAGGTTAACAATCACTAAGAGGAGGTTGATACCATGATATTTCTCAGTGGTACATGTAATCAAGCTTTATCCAAAAAAAATTGGTGCAAAAGATTGGGATGCCAAAGGTTTGAATAGTGGAATCAGGGAAAATGTATCGACATACCGATTGCCAACCAAGGACATTCTCAACATGGTAGCCAATCCAATCTTACCACACAGTCTTAGTGTGCTTTTGTCAACTATTGGAGTGACAATTGTTGGGCCAAAGAATATACCTGAAAGATGCATGAATGGCCTGTTCCTAGTACAAAGAAATGCTGTGCAAGATGCACTGAAGTTCCTGCAGCATAACAACCCATTATACTCTGATATAATAATCAGTGAAGATTGCATTGCTACCAGATAATAATGTTCCTCCAGAGCTAATGGACAATGTTCAATATTCGTCTGACATTGATCAACTTAAGATAGAACGTTCAAACTATGTACCAGACGGAAGTGAAGATAAGGATTGTCAACATTTAGCGGGGAAATAAGCTCATGCCCAGTGACTTGCAGAGAATCTGAACATTTCAGGAGTTACTGATATGGAGGATGATGATGATGAACACAGCTCTGCCGAGCAAGGTAAGAAAATTTGCGTAGTCCTACATGGTCAGCTATTAAATTATCCCAAAGAGGCTACCATACCATTACAAACTCTAGAAGTGGTCAATGCATCTGGAAGCGACATTCAAGAAAATGGACTACTTGCTCATGCATTGGCGAATGTATCAAAGATCTGAAAAAAAGGAGGTTATGCAATCAGAGGATTACTGTTTGTCAATGAATACCCTTGGACTGATGAGGAAGGGATGAATTATGAGGGACAAGCAGAGGATCCTAATCACATGCTTGGTACTTTCCCTTGGTTGTTTCCATATGGGCAGGGTGGCTTTGAAACAAACAAGAAAAAAAAGGTCACTTATGAACTCCATGTGCAATGGGCATTACACTATGGAGATAAGAGGTTTCAACTAGATTATCAATTCATGTCCCAAGCATTTGGGGTTATACAGAAGAGACAAGTCTGTTGGTTTGCATGTTTACAACTTAGCAAAAACACATTCCGTCAAAATGAAAAAGCCATATGATCATTAAACATCTCAGACTTTGCAATTGCAAGCAAAGAGGAGAGCCAAAAGAAGACCATATCAAACCCTACAATAAGATCACTCAAAAGGCACTTATCCACCATCAGGGCTAAAGTAATGGGTACGGATGAATCAAGGATTAAACTTCGAAAACAAGTTTGGGGATTCACCATTATGAAAAATCCACCATCAATTTGATTGAGGATAAACCCTTCTGATTCTCATGATCCTATAGCCCAGGTTTTTACAGGTGCAGAAATCAATCTAGATGACTTCATTTCCACGGCAGGCCCTAACTCGACGGCCAGGTCACATGCTGTAGCATTGGATCCATATGCAGCTGCTCAATTCTTTCATCTGATAGTAAAGATTGTCATCAAAACTTTGTTAGGATTTAAAGGATAGTAACGTGGATCCATTGATCAAACTTGCAGCCACGCCGGTCATTGCTGTTTTGGCTAGAAGATGTGTTGCACCTAATCTTTTGAACGTGTTGGATATTGCATTCAACATCGTTGTCTTCCCCGTACCACCTTGCCCATTTATAACCATGAGTATTTGGTTGGTCTTCAACCCATTCAGGTAATTCTGTGTGCTGTTTGCTATTATGTCATGTGCCATACATTGGTCTACGTTCAAGCGTTGGATATGAGTATTGTGTATGCTTATGTTAATGGGGTTAGGTTGTGCAACTACTGTGGGAGTTGTTTGATTTTTGCTATTTTGAATGATTGCCATATCCTGAATATTTTCTTGTCCTTCAGGTGTCTCGTACATGGGCAATCCAAGCATTGTATTTTTCCAACCCTGCAAGTATTGTATTGTTGCTGATGTTTGTTAGAAATGTTTCTAAATTGTCAACATATTTGCGCTCACAATGCTGAACTGCTTTACAAGGTGCTTTATAGACCGTCGCAGGCTTTTGTCTCTGTGAAAATCCCAATGTCTTCTGCAATGTTGATTGCACATGCTGCATACAATTGTTCCGCAGGAGTTCCTTGTTGTCCATCTGCATCTTCTATGTCTTGTTCAGTCACAATGACTGCTTCTGTTTCCTGCTGACTTGAAGATATATCTGCAGAAAGCTCTTTTAATGTCTCTTGTAGCCCTCTATATGTTTGTATTGTCCATGAAAGTAGACAGAAAGTGCGCGCAGTTGTTTGACTGATAGTCGTGCATTACTCTGTGATTATTCCTGTCATAGGATCCAGGCAATTGTTTTAGGTGGTTTTTCTCGGTTGTTGGTCCGGTTCGTCACTTGCCTTCCCCATGCTCTTTTGTGATTCTCTTTCGTGTTACAATAACACAATTTCCAGACATTTCCTTTCTTTTCATTCTCCGCTCCAACTCTATACTTTAAATGCCACGTGGCATTTCCCCTTTCTCGCGCCGCGTTGCCTTCCTTTTATTTTTAGATCTAACTCTCTCACGCAGTGGAGCTGGCCATACGGGCTAGGCCCTATGACATCATCAGCCACTGCCTTCATCAACTGTATAGTATGATAAAATTGGATAATGACCAGACCAGGGATTGAACCTGGAACCTTCTGGATACATGCCAGCTGCTCTACCAATTGAGCTATATGGCCAAGGTTATACAATGTAGGATCTTAAACATGACATGCAACCACGGACGTCTTACACAGAATAGCTGCTGCATACTGGGCTGGCTTACAAATCAGAGGTATTATTCTATGGAGTATTGGTATGTCAGAGTATATTCTAACATAGTACACATGTACAAACAAACCTGTAGTAGTATATATACCCCAATAAATCCAGGAGACTCCTCAGCGAGTTCTCCTGTTGTACACCAACAAACTCACTGCAGCCTTAGGGGTAAGCACTCCCCAACTTCATCCTCTGTATAGTGTGTTCTGTGTGCGCCGGAGTAACTCACTCTTGGTTGTTACATTAGGACTCGCTCTTTCTACTCTCTCGCACGTTTGTACAAAGAGTCCCACTGGGCACCCGGACTCCAGGGTGAAGGAGATTGGTTAGCGGTTAGGAATATCCCATATAGCAGATAGGTGCGCTCCTAGCGACGGCCTTGTAGTGCTTCAGGAGAAGAACCCAAAACCTTTGATACGCGGCCCCCAGCGTTAAGGGGAGTACTATAGCTCAGCAGTCGGTGTGAAACCACTGTTGATTAGATTTAGAATACAAATCTTCACTTTCAAATACCTCTGACCAGGCCAGGCACTTGCCTCCGCCAGTCTGGAGAAGGGTTGACAGCTTAACAAGCGGACCACCCCCTGACAACCGTTCGGACCAGGGTTTATTACAAATACATTTTTATATACCTTTTTAAATACTATAGTGTGGGTAGTCGGAGATTGAGATCCGATACTCAGCTGGGAAGAGGTTGATCTGCAGATAGCAAGCGGGGACCCCCAGTTACCTATTTTTACGTTACCCAAAGAGAACAAGTCAACATGTCATTGCAACCCCAAGACATGAATGCGCTACTGCACGCAATGCATACGCAGATAGCTGCATTAACCTCGCAGCTCGCCGAGATACAGGCTAACCCCCCTGTAGCAACCCCCTCGGTAGAGAAAAAGTTTAACAAGAAAGTCGAAGTCGTCGCTGACCCTGGCGCCTTCGAAGGAGATAGAGCACAATTCGCCGAATGGTGGATCAAGCTCCAGATTTGGGTCAAGGCAAACTGGGACGCGTTTGCCGACAATTTTGAGGTAGCCACTGCGGTGCTATCTTGCCTAAAAGGACCTGTGGCAGGTCGATACGCCCAAGTACAATTGCAGGAGTGCTACACTGTGGGAGTGTGGCCCACCTGGGACGATCTCAAAATAGAGATCGAAAAATATTTCAAACCGCAAGCTAAGCGTGACTGGGCGCGTCAGCAAATCCGTTCCTTCAAACAAGGAAACATAAGGACAGATGATTTCGTAACCTGGTTCCTGGCCCTCTCAATCCAAGGGGGTCTTGGCAATGAACATGCAGTAGAACTGCTAGAACGCAATGTGAACCCTCGCATTGCAGAGCAGATCTATCTGCAAGATACACGAAGCGACAACTTGGCCCTGGCGGCTGAGGAAGTACAACGAGTCGGTAGAGCCAGAGAGCTCTACACCATGCACCAAGGTGGTGGGTCCACCAAACAAAACAACACATCCCAGAGGCGCCCTGGGTCATCAAACCAAAATCATAATCACTCTCACGGGTTCAAGCCGTTCGGGCTGCAACCAGGGCAGGGAGCCCCTATAGATATCGGCGCGGTCCAAGGCGGACAGATGCGCAGATTCAAGGGGAGCTGCTACAATTGCGGCCAAGAGGGACACATGTCCCGAGACTGCAGAAAAGGGGCGCAGGCCGCCCAACAAAAAAATAACCAAGGGCGCCAGGCGCACCAACTAGAAACCGAGAAGCCGGACGATCAGCTCAACTCTTTGGCCGGTTGTTCATACGACAAAATCCGGGCCTTCTTCTATGACCAGCAGGTCAATGAAATGAAGGCTCAGGAAAAAGAATTCGGGGCTTAGGTCACTTGGGTACCTTAGCTCCAGCTAGAAATGAAGTAAACCACAACAAAGTGGCCCCTGCTCCGGGGTGTTGCACGAGCAATAACGGAATGACGGGGATGGCTCCCCAATTTGTAAATAGATTTTTAAATTTGTTATCTGAAGTCTGTACTTGTATGAAGAAATGTGATTGTAATATTTATGATACTACCGCTGCACCAGCGTCTCCCTTGGAGCGTGGCCCCGGCGAGACAAACACTAGGGTACTTGATTCTGGTAAAAATAAAATAGAAAAACATGTATCTTTCAATCTTTCCTCTTCTTCTTTGGAGCCACCCTTTCCCGAAATCCCAAGGCGTGTGTTGATGCGCACGTATTTATTCCAAAAGGAGATCCGTTTAGATGTTGGCGTGGAAAACCTTGCCCGGGGCAAAGTACACTCAACAAGCGCACTGCTTGATTCAGGCGCTAACGGAATCTTCATAGATCAGGTCAGGGCAGAGCAAATTGGACTCCCCCTTGTAAAATTAGATGCATCTATTCCCGTCTATAACGTTGACGGTACGCTTAACGCAGGTGGCTGTATCACTCACAAATGTTCTTTTGTGGTCAAATACCAAGGACACAGAGAACGAGTCACTGCCGAAGCTTCCCAACTAGGGAAGATTAATTTAATCTTAGGCTGGACCTGGCTATTTAAACATAATCCTGAGATCAACTGGCAGACAGGGGTTGTCACGTTGTCACGTTGCCCTCAGGAATGTGTAAACTTGGGTAAACCAAATCATGTCCATCACAATGAGCGTCTTGAAAAGTTAAACGCTAGTCACGTTTACGAGCTCAGATCTTTAGAAAAGATTGACGATGACGATGACGAGGTGAAACCTGAGGAAGAGATTAAGAGGCTGGTATCTCCCGAGTACCATGACTTCTGGAAAGTCTTTTCAAAACATAAATCAGAGCACTTCCCAGAGGCTAAGCCTTGGGACCATGCTATAGATTTGAAAGAAACCTTCAAACCGAGAAAAGGATACATGATACCACTCTCTGCTCCAGAAAGAGATGAGGTATCAAGTTTCATAGATGAACAGCTTAGGAAGGGTTACATCGGACCTCCAAAAGTCCTATGACGTCCCCGGTGTTCTTCATTCCTAATACACATGGCATATT